CTTGAGAATGCTGACACATTTCTCAGAGATGGGCGCATAAGAATAAAGCTGTATTCTGTATATTATGCCCCACATGGGACATTGATGAAGACCTACACAGTGCATAATTTCTTTTAAGTTCTTTTAAGCAGTCTTGTGTTAGAGTACAATTAAAAGTCCATCAGTATCCCAAGTACTCGTGCATTATCTACCCTGCCACACTTCGCTAATGCGTCTTATCATTTAGGTTGCTAATACTGTTCAGTGTAAAGACAGTCTTTCTGAGGTAGACTGTTCAAGTTCAAGGACAAGTCTTTTTCTTACGAAATGCATGACATTCAAAAAAAGACAACAAATAAATACTACATGTACAATATGTAGCAATGAGGTAGAAATGGTTATAAAGAACAATGTCTGAATACACGTCAGATGAAAAAAGAAAAAAAGAAATGAATATTCTCTAGCAACTGTATATAATCCACAAGGAGAAACACACACCCACACCCACACCCACACCCACACACACACGAGAGAGAGAGAGAGAGAGAGAGAGAGAGGGAGACTGAAATAAACTTTTGCTTTTTTTTTTTTTTTTTTTTTTTATATCATAAGACAACAAGAAAGAATGAATGTGCTCCCAACCTTGGTGTACTACAGAACCATTTTATAAATATTTAACATTCTATAGGACTGATTCATATATTCTCACACAACTCTGTGGCAAGGCTGACCCATGCTGCCGACATTCTACATATCACTGAGACAGGGAGGTGAAATTTTCCTGCTTTCAGTCTAATTGTCTTTGACAATTGCAGTGCCTAGTGCTACACTGCTTGTGTTGTATTTAAAAACAGGGGAAAGAGGAGAGACTTGTTCATTAAAGATGCAGCATCCCTGGTTCACACAAATGCATCTGGCAGGTTCAAAATCGAATGTCAACCAGAGGTCTAGCAGAGTGTGAGCTCCAGTTCGTGTGTTGGTAAGTCCCAAGTACAGCTGGTTTTGAATTCTGAAATACTAATAGCTCCACGTTTGCTAATGTGCTTCCTATGAAAACTGGCAAGTGACTCAACAACCGAAGGCTTACTTTTCAAAAGAAAAATACATATTACAACACTTTGAATTGTCAAGCGGTCATGTGCGTCTGCACATGTGAAGAAAGGAAGTAATCAGTTGCTTCTGAATAATGTAAAATGGATGTTAAAGTTCAAATAGGTGGTGGTAAAAACAGCACACACATACACACACACAAACACACACGCTAATTTTATATATATATATATATATATATATATATATATATGTATGTATTAGAACTTTATCTTAGTGGCCTCGATAGTTCAACAAACTGTGTCCCTTTCGCTTTGCAAAATAGTTTCAAAAATCACGATAGCCAATTCTTGTTAAGAAACGTGAGAATGGGATTATAGAAATATCTTTCTGTTTGGAGTTGGACACATTTCTAGAGAAACACATTCTAAATGCATCTGAAATATATTTTCCAACCCACAAATATATGTAAATTTACAAAGACCTATGGTAGGAATTAATTTGGACTTTTTTGGATGTATTCTTCTGAAAACTGCATAGCCAAGTACTATGCAACCCATGTAAATTGACCTTGCTATTTTACATAGCATAGCCTCTGGATAGCTTTTATCACTTGCCCAGATGGTGTTTGGCCTATGTATTTTAGTGGAATGGTTTATTTTCTCCTTGATAGGTTTCAAATGCACAAGAAAACATTATACCCGTCTATCTGCATTTGAGTAGAATACAAACTGACTAATAGATAAACATTCTGTGTGAAAGTAAATAGCCTTAAAGTATACTGCCTTCACATTCCATTGATCAGCTCGGTCAGCAAAGTTTTCCATATTGTCACTAATGTTCTAAATATTTTGGTGAGAAGCATGTCAGGAGTGTAGGGTATTTCCATTTGTGTCACACATAAGGTCATTACGAACTACCTCTTGAATTTCTATTGATCCTTCCACTGAAGTGGTTTCCTTCACTTCTTTTTTGTTCCCGTTGGAAATGTTATTTCAGTGGTGAAGAAGAGAATTAGGGGCTGTTAAGTGTACTGGCTCAAATCCCCCGGCCAGACGGCAAGGGATTTGGACTGGCTCATTACCTTACCTTCATTAGTAGCCTTCTCCAAATTCTTAGCAGTCAAAAAGAGGCCAAGAGTACGAAGCCTGCTCACGCAGTTGTCCTAACACCGATTGTACACATTCACTTCTCAAGATGTGGCACCCCACCTCCACCCCAAGCTCCAGAAGGGACGGTCAGAAAAGAGCTCATTATTAGGCGAGTCCATAGAAGAACTCATAATGCTGCCATGCAGAATCAAAGAATCATAGGAGAGCACTCTCTACTCAAAGGTCAGCCTTATCTCCCCCAACAGATCTTCATTTCTTCAGCATGCCCAATTTCCTAAGAGATCAAATCCAAGAATTCATGAGGCTAAATGAAATTCACACAAGACTTCAGCTTCTGCCTAAATACATGGATTTTTTTGACCACTCCTATCTCAAAGTAATTTTGAAGTCACTTAAAGCTAAAAGCCAATACAGATGACTTTTAATTTATTTTCAGTTTTATAAATGAGTGTAAAACACAATAGTGCAGTCATATTTGGCATTAACTCATACTAGACACAAAAATGTGGGTCAATATTGGATTTTCCAAAGTTGTCTAAATAAGACTGGGTTTGTCAAAACTTGCCAGTTGCTTTCAAGTGAACACAGCATGTTGGCGGAAATGAAATGTAATGTCTAAAAGACAGAAAATAGGTCAGCACTGTGCAAAAGTAAACTTGTCAGTGAGATCAATATGAACCTACAAGTTAATGAGGATATTAGAATTTCCTTACAATAAGAGATGTGCAGGGTAGAGCCAGAACACGATTATAGCATTTGTTCACTCGTGAAAAGCAGAGGACATATTTAAATATCATTTTTTGTATCCTTAATGAAAGGCACTGCTTTTTAATATGGAATATTTATATGTAAGCACAGTTTTAATTGATAGAATATCACAGTAAATTAAATTTTGGTTCATTTGCTCAGTTTTTTGCAACATGAAAAATATGAAAAAAGGGGAGTAATGATTGAGCATCATAAAATTTCAGAAATATGATGACGTCCTTCATTAGCTTTCTCTATGTTAAGTGTTCAGAGAATTTGACATTGTGAATGAAATCAGTCAAAATTTTTGAAGGAAAAAAAACAATAACAGAAAGAGCTTTCTTGGGGCTTCTCATTGCATTTATTTAAGTTTTTAAAAAATGTACACCACTTTTTGAATACATAAAATGCCAGTGCTTTGCAACAGTTTTGTTACTGCATCTCTCAACTAAAAAAAAGGAAGGAAAAAAAAAAAAACAGGAAAAATACATTCAAAAAGCCAGGCTGTTCTGCTTATGCACGGGCAGTGGCTCTGGAAAGCTACAGCCTACACTGTCTGTTCAGAGGCATTGCCGAACGTCAGTTAGCTATCAATGAAAAGTTGCACATAAAGCATTAAAGGATACAAAGAACAACCTGGGGAGGAGGAGCAGGAGAAGAATGGAAAATTAAGAAAAATACCACATATTCTAGGGGTGGGGGTGGACTCAGGCAGAAGCAAGCATGAAGACTGATGTTTTTGGAAACTAGATTTATGGGAAAAGGGAGAAAACAAAGTAACGTGCTTGACAAGGTAGAGTTGTGTGTGTGTGCGCATGTGTGCGCACGTGTGTGTCCACTTCCAATTTTCTGTTTTACTCTCCAAGAGAAATATAACAAAACTGAGGTAGAAATGAATGTGGGAGCACTATAGCCCAGAAGATTTCAAAATGAGAAGCAAAATTGCACTGAGAAGAGAGGAGTCAAAAAGGAGAGGGGATGTAGATGTTCTTTGTGTATATAGAGAAGTTGGTTGGTTGGGTTTTGTATTTGTTTGTTTTTGCTTGCTATCTTCTGCATTCTATCAAACAGCACGGCAAGCCTATAAGCTAGATTAGTGAATAGAAGGACACCATTCCCAGCAGTTTGAAGAGAGAACTCGCAAACTACCACCACCACCAATGCAGTAAAAGGCAGTCCTAGTTTTTAGGTACTGTGACTTTCAGGGTCCTAAGCAGGTCTTGTGGCCGAGTGTTCTAGACACTAACATGAACTGAATAAGTAGCTTTCCATTAACCAGTGTACCTTTTAAGAACATTTTCACTTCATTATCAAGGAGCAATGTACGAAGAACTCTTGCAGTTTTTGACATAAAGAATTATTCTGTTCTGGTTAATTCCCCATAATTAGTAAAAGAATCTTTTTAAAAAAAAATCCTTCCATTTCTACTTTAAATTGTAAATATTCAGTTGTATCACACATCAGTATTTTTCCGGATACATTCAAAGTAATTTTCCTTGCTATTTTCCAATTGTTGAGGTAAACATACATTTTTAATATAAAGTAACATTGAAGCCTATCCCATTACTCTCAGCAGTACATAGTGCTTTCAACACATTCCTTTGAGGTACTGTACAAATCACAATCACTTTCCTGAGTTTTTGCAGACAAGAACATTAAAAGAAATGAACCGCAGAAATTAAGGTCCAGATTACCGTTACCCTGTTTTACCTGTTCTTAGCTTAATACTGCAGAACAGACAGGATTGAGGAATACTGTTGCTCTTAAAATGGCAAAAATCTGGTTTTCTGTCGTCACACAACCGTTCATCTCTTTAGTCCAATAATGTTTGAAGTTAAAGCTCTTTATATTAGCACATGCCACCAATGTAATTGTGAGGCAAACAAAAAATAAAGCACCACTCCAGGCACTTGACAGCAACTAAATCTCGAGAACAGCAGAATGGAATCAACACACGAGGTTCATGTCCTTCTGAAATCAACACACTTGCACCTTGCTCCTTGGTGAGTGTTGTCTAGCTTGAACTGAACTGAGCGTCAACAGATGCTTTCTGTCCTCTGGGGCTCTCAAATCAGAAGCTCTCATTTGATGCGGTTTTTTTTTTTTTTTTTTCCTCCAAATCTACCCTGACTCTAAAGATGCAACTCAATCGTCATCTTCCCCAGTACCCTTTGCGATTTAAACACTACTGGAAAGGGGCTCTAGACCCTATGTAGCAGGTTTTATGCGTGTGTGCCAACATTCATTACATTTTTTTTTTTTAAAGAAGTTATCACTGACTGCAACCAAACATTTTGTTCCATTCAACATACATATCAAGCTCTTTTTGAGATATGCTAGGCTGAATCTTGCAGAAAGCATTTTCAAAGTCTTGATATGTAACGGGCCTCAACTGGCTGGGCATGATGGCTGAAAGGTCTGTGGCTGGCATGGCATGGAGGGGGCCCACCGCTGCTTCCTGACACAAATGAGCCACGTCTAGTCCAGAAAAGCCTTCTGTGCGCTGGACGAGCAGTGCAAACTCCTTGTCATTGAGACAGTAATTGTGCTGTGAGAGCAGTTGTACTATTATCTGGTGCCTCGCTGTGCTGTCAGGAAGTGGGATTAAAAGTCGTTTCATGAAGTACCTCCGAAGAGATTCATCTATTTCTTCTGGTTTACTGGTGGCACAAATTACTACGATTTGGTCCTCAGCTGAAGTTAGTACAGTGTCCAGCTGCATCAGAAATTCCGTTCTCATCCGATTGACTGGACTGTGTTCCTCGCTCACTTGAGAGGAGAGAAGCATGTCAATGTCACTGACAAAAATCACCGAGGGCTGGCGACACCTGGCCACGAGAAAAGAGGCGTGGATAATTTTTTCTGCTTCTCCTAACCACTTGGCAACGAGTCCAGAACCGGCGATTTTGAAAAACGTGGCCCCCAGCTGACTAGCTATGCATCGGCCCAATAATGTTTTGCCTGTTCCCCGAGGTCCGAATAAAAGGATGCTCCGAGGTGAGGCCGTCAGTCCACTGAACGCGTCTGACCTCAACACCGGCCATAAAACTTCCTCTTTAATGACAGCCTTTACCAGGTCGAGACCAGCAATGTCGTTCCAGTCCACCGGGGGTCCTTGGGTGATAATCTCATTGGTTACCAGGTCAATGAGGTGGGTGTCCGTATTCTTCAGTTGCTCGTCCACAGAGTGGTTGGATGAGGTAGCTGCACGGAGTCCAGGGCCTTGCATTGGGTGAGAGAGGAGCTGCCTGTGCTCGTCCCCATGCTCACTCATTACCGGCGACGTGTACTTCCCAAAGGATTCACTGGATCTTGATCCCAATGAATTTTTAGCAGTACTATAGGAAGGAGGGGTCAGAGCCCTACTGGACTGGCTGCTGAATTTCCTTTGCTGTTCAGAGGACATTAGCTGCTTCGTTGGCTTAAATGCCAAGGACGATGTTTCAGCACTTCTGTCAAAGCCATTCCCCCGATTTGAGTTTGAAATGCTGTTGTCGGGCATTCTGTACATAGGACTCTGCGTAGATCTCTGTTGGCCATAGCTGTAATTTCCGTAACTGGAGTCCATATCTCCTTGCCCTGCCATATAGAAAGCTTTCCTTTTGAGGGAACTTGCCGAACTGTTTGTCAGAGCCGAGGGTGCAATGGGTGTCAGACCATGACCCTGGTAGGTGTAGCCAGAAACAGTAGTGGGGGGCAGCGGGGTAGGAGCGGGGATTCCTGAAGGCAGGTACGCTGAAGGAGGAGGAGGCGCGCCGCCGGGGCTGTACCCGGATCCCACAGCAGTCTGAGGAGGATAGCTAGCAGAGGGATAGCTGTAACTGGGGAGGTTAGAAGTCCCATTGTAGCCCGGGACCAGGGCTGGTGGCGGAGGCGGCGGTGGCGGTGGCTGGAGGAGCCCGGAGCTATGCAAAGGAGAAGGGTGAGGGGAGGGAAGTGCAGGTGCCGGCTGGCTACTGTAAGTAGAATGCAAATACGATCCGTTGTATCCCGGGGCATATTCCTGAGAGGGGAGCCCTGCGTGGAGACTGGGGACGGTGTGGCTCCCACAGGTACTGCTCGAATAACTCGGCTCGGTCAGGTTGCTGGCCACCCCGGGGGAGCTCCCTATGCTCGCAGAGACGTCTGCTGGAGGGAGGGCTGAACTGACTCCGGCTTTGCTGGCTGCGATAACATCCGGAACACAGTTCATGGGATAAACAGCTTCGGAATTCAAGGAAGGCTGCCAGGGTTCGCTTTCATTTTTCCGACCGTTCACGAGGCCGGATGGGGCATCTGAGTAGTTGCTGAGGACGGGTCGGTCCACGGGGCCCTCTAAAATGCCAGAATACTTCTCTGCGTATTTTTTGAGTAGGTTGGATGCAGTCAGAGCAGAAATGTCGTCATTTGCCCAGGCGTACTGATAGGTGCGCTGCAGATGACCTCTGTAGGCTTCCACTTTGTGGGCAGGAGACCGAGTGGTTGAGGTGATGTCAAAGTGCTGTTCTGGCCACTGGGCATGCTCCGGCGTCCACTGCATCTTCAAGCCTGCAGATTGGGGGGGGGGGGGAGGAAAGTTAATTTACCGAGATACTCGTCAGATGTGCGAGAAAGCTTTTCCCTAACTTCTTTGGTAACCTGTTACCTTCCATTAATGATGGAGCCGTTACAAGGAATTCCCACAGTGAGAGCTATCCACTGGGACCTGTACAGTGTGTACACTTTAAAACGGACTGGATTTCAGTCCTGTATAAAAAGGAAACCGAATTTACACAAAAACCCTGCAGAAGACCTCATTCTTTGTTCATTTTTTAAAGTAATAAGCAAATTGATTTCCTTTAAGCTTAGCGAGTTACTCGCTGAGCAACACAGGAACACACACACACACACATATATATGTACACACACATTCCCGCCAAATTAGAATCCGATCACAGGTTCTTACAATGAAATATGCATATCTTTTAACTAGGAGGTACGTGATACTATTAACAGGAGCAATATCGAGCCATCCTGTCTCTTCACATCAGAGTTTCTGTTTTATATTTTAACCAATATAAAAATGAGACACAGCTGACAGATCACATCTAGGACCCCTCTCTTATTTGGTACTGAACACCTAGTTAGCACAGTATAATGCTCCCTGCGCAGAACAATATGACACAGACATAGCAGGTCATTCCATAATCCAACTCTCATCTAAAGTGCTCCACGACAGTTTCAAATCTGCTTCGTGGAGTGCAGCAAAGCAATCTCCCAGGCAGCGCTCCATCGCTTTCATCGCACAAAGCCTACAACTCGGTATGAATTACAACTGGCTCCTTTCTGCCTCTCAGTTCTGTTGTTGAGTCTCTGAAAAAAAAAAAAACAAGCATCACTTGTCTGTCGGTCTTCCAGCTGGCAATCTCCCTCCTTCCTCTATAATCCTTCCCTCTGCTTTACTAAGAGGAGTGAATACATATGCATATATATATATATATATATATATACACACACACACACACACACACATATATCTTTACGTATACCTATTATGTGTGTTTGTATCTATGTGTACATATATGGGGCGAAGAGAAGAGGAAGGAAGAAAGGAAGGAAGGAGGGCAGACGGGCAGGCAGCGAGGGAGCAAACAGGTGAAAGGGAGTATAAGAGGAGGGAAGAGGGAGAAAATGTGGATTCTCTTTAGATTTCTGTGGGAAACAGTGTGTGTATGGCATAAAGTCAAGGAGCACAGCTAGATAATGAGATGCTATGGGTGAGTCGATCACCTGCTAGATTATCAACCGAAGCAAGGTGACTTAAGTAGCAAACTGTAAAACCAGAGTATTTTCTCAGTTAGAATCAGAGAATCATTTGAATTTTACAGTTTAAAGAGACTTTAGAAATTACCTTATTTCACAGATTAGGGAACCAGTGCCCAAGGGGATTTAGAACATCCCCTGGAGGACGCACGTACACTTCGTACCCTTCATTACAGTAGAGCGTGGGAACCCTGTTTTGCCTCCCAGGGCTGGCTCACCTCACCCTAATCTCTGCTTCATCCGAACACTTCCGATTCCTGTAGGGCTATATCAAATAGGTCTCCTTCAACTCCTTCGTACTACCCAAAGTGAATTTTATAAACCGCCTTATGCCCTCTGGCAGAGATCCTTTGATAAGAAGGGGGCCTGGTCCGAATGAGACGTCTGTGGCATCAGCTCCCTGCTGAATTACTGCCCTCTATTTTGACAGCTCCTACACCCTTCCGCCTTCCTCCTCTAACCCCTTTAGCTCTTCATTCCCTGACTCTGGCTTCTGACATGGCCAGCTTTGACTTCCGGAGCTAAACTGAACACAGCCCAGAGTTTGGTAACAGAATGGCATGTTGATTCCCTCCTGACTCCCTCTTCCTTGTTTGCAAAACCACTGCACCAGACACTGGAAGTTAATTAGCAGGATGATGCTGTGCTAATTGTGTTAATTTACAAGGTTTTAGTCAAAGAGAATCATGCCAGGGCTGGCACTGCTGTCATGCTTCCGACTTAATGATTAAGAAATACTGAAAACAAGGTGGGAAGGATTGCAGTAATTACACAATAAATGAATAAAGCAACAGGATTCATTTGCAAATATATTTTACTGCAGTGGTACTCATTTGCATTTGGATTTTTAAAAAGGATTCATGTAGATATTCATTTGCAAATCACCATCTCAGTTAAATTAAGTCTGAATGCTGCACAGTATAACTTAATCAAGCTATTTTTTTTAATAAAAATAGGAAAGACCTTACTTCACTTGGATATGCAACAGATTCTTTCTTCAATTTCCTTTTCCTTACTCCTCCCAAATCTCCATATGTTTCTCTTTTAAAACTCGACTTAAAAAAAAATAGTATCATCAATTGGAAAAAAAAAAATGTAAAATCCTGATGAAGTACAGCTTACACCATTTCAGCCCAAGAAAATCTGGGGGTGAGTTCTAGGAGGAACTAAAGTGATATTCTTAATTGTTTCTGCTTTCTCAGTCATTCCTTTTGAAGGGGGCGGGGGAGGTGGGGAAGGAAAACACATCGCAGAATGGGTGAAATGACCGAAACCACACTTAAAGGGGAAAAGATGCAATTTTAATGAAGCAACATTTCAGGAATCATACTTTCATTAAATTCAACTGGAAATTATTAAGAGCAAATCACCAGGAACCAATCGCAAGTAATCAGTATCTAAATTCTTCTTGTGTCATGGGATTTACTTCAAGCCTTATAAAAAGGAAAGAATATTAATGTGACTCTAATGTAGAACTGTCTAAAAGACCTACAAATTCATTAGTCCTGTAAATTATTTCCAGGGAATTTCTATTAGAATTTTTTCTTTAAAAGATTATCAAATACAAAGTCGAGAAAATAAGAATGCTCATATGCTCCGAGGGGACGTTTGATGAGATTGAGACAGAAGAAACATGAATAAATGTCTTGAGAGGAGGCCTCCAAAAATATTTTGGGAGTTATAGGAAATGGAATTTACCACAAACACAACATGACACACATACACACTAGAAGGCATGGCTTCCTTTCTGTTAGCGGAGCTGAGCCATCCTTGGCATAATTAACACACATGACAAACATAAAAGCCCATTTATAAAAAAATGAAACTGCTCTAGTGTAGAATAATTACTGGAAAAACAAACAAAAAAGGGCACCCTTCCCTCTTACTGGCTTAAAATCTTTTTCTCCTAAGTTAAGCATTTACAAAAGGTGTGCAAAAGTGGTTTTAGTAAGGTATAATCACTGTAAAAGACAGGAATGTCAAGTTTACATTAAAAAGTTCAGTCATTTTCACTCTGTATGTCTGTGGAGTTTAACCCTAGCAAAACTAATACATTTCCTAAGATTTCTGTTTCAATCTGAAATTAAGCAATGATCCTATTAAAATTACTGACTTGGGACAATTACTGGATATACCGTTAACTTTGGATTCTCATGCTATTTTTGGATGTGCTTACCAAGATAATTGCAAGTTTATTTATTGATGCATACTAACTAATAATCACCTTAGCGGGGTTGCCAAAGGCAAATGTGAGCTTTGATTAAATAACCTTAAGGGAACAGAATTATTCACATCCCCTGGAACACGAGTACTTATCCTGTGTTTTGAAATCATTAATGTTACTCTAAAGCATCAGTTAATAGTTAAGCATAAGCTAGTTCTTACTATCAGTAGGAGCTGAAGAAGCTAGTGTTCAGGAGATTGTCCTGGCCTTGGGAGCACAGACAGCTTTCTCATCAGTCTCTTGAATTTTAATGCTAATCAGAAGGAGAACAAAACTTGTTGTTGTTGTTGTTCTGTTTATTGGTGGTGATATTTCTGGTGTGAAATGGAAGAAAAATGTAGAGCCAAATGTTCTTTGAACAAAAAATCATGCTCCATTTGACTGTACTGCTGTTCTAGACATGTCGGAAGCAGCATGGGCGTGTCACTTAACCTGGCACGCAAATAATAAGGTGGGTTTTAAAAGCAGCTTTGATATGGTTTCTCTCTGGAACATGCATAGAGAAATCTCAGAAACAATACTGTTTTAGCACTATTAGAAACATGAATCCACAACAATAACTTCCACTGCTGTTTAGAAATAGCTTAAATAGGTCCAATAAAAATTCAGAAAACAGTGGAAAGTAAGAAAAATAGTTCTTTTTTTTTTTTAAAGATTTTTTATTTATTTATTTTACAGAGAGAGATCACAAGTAGACAGAGAGGCAGGCAGAGAGAGGGAGGGAAGCAGGCTCCCTGCCAGGCAGAGAGCCCGACGCGGGACTCGATCCCAGGACCCTGAGATCATGACCTGAGCCGAAGGCAGCGGCTTAACCCACTGAGCCGCCCAGGCGCCCAAGAAAAATAGTTCTTAAAGATAATTGAAGAATTGTTCCAAAACATCAATTTTTATTTTTGAAAGGATCAGGAAATTCTTAATATAGCCAGCAAATTTCACAATGCAATGTGTTTGTTTTTAAAATATGTCATTTAATAGAAAATTGCTTTTAAGAGACGTTAACATACATTTTATACCACAATGAGAGGGCCTATGCTACAAAGCCTGAGCATTGGTTATTTCATTGCCATAGGATGAAGTTATGTAGATATAAATGAACAAGTCTGTATTTCCCATAAAACTGGACGGTTTGGATACCACTTTCCTTTCTTACCATTTCTGACCACTTTATAACTCGGGTTTAACTACGAACCGGTTGCGGCCTCATTGTCTTACTTGCTCCATTTTGTTCTTTAACTGTTTTGAAACGACACAACTGAGACATCCTTCGAAGTTCTGTCCTCGCTTCAAAATGATTGAGAAGCTGTTACCCAGAAAAATGAAGAATATAAAAACAACTTTCAGAATGGGAGGAAATCCGAAAGAAGAGAGTAAGCCTCTGGAGTCTATTTTTAGCACACATTCCTGGAAATACTAATATAAGGCCCTCACTACCCGCCCCCCGCCCCTACCTAACACCCCGATGCTGCTCAGCAGTTCATCTGGTCTAAAAAAGCGGTTCCTTCTACAAGGTTCACACAGGGTA